TTTACTTTTTGAAAGAGCACTTAGCAAAACAAACCTAGAAAGTAGTATTACTTTATGTCAGTTCCATGCTATTATTATCAACAAGCATTTATTTGCATTTTGGGCTAAAAGGTCCGGATTTAGAACTGCTTTACATTTTCTTGAAAATAAAACCAGTAGGGGGGTGAATTCAAGTATGATATATTTGATACACTCTAAGAACTTTTGTAAACGCCACAATGTAGCCCCAGTAGAACAATTTAAAAAAAAAAAAAGGGGGAAAGAAAAAAGAAAAGCAGTACGAATTGTAACCAGCCCTATCTGACCTTTCAAGTTGCAAATTAGGGTAATAGGTGGTCTAACAATTACAGGAACAAAAACTACAACAACCTTCCCCTCAAACCAACACATAATAAATATTACGAAACCTATGTAGAATTAAAATTGCACATTATTTAGAAAACTGACATTTACTATCAGGACATATGTCCTTAGACATACATTTCTTTTAACATGTGGTAAAAATGCACTCTATTAATCTTTGAAATCAGAATTTGCTACTACATGTGCCTTTAACTTACCAGGGTTCTACTTTAAGAGTTGAAGATACTTTTTCTGGAAGAAAAAATCCATGCCATTTTGAAGCTTCAAGTAGTTCCTGAGGTATTCTTTTTGATGCATCATAATAATGACCAAATCTTGAAGATGACACTGGTCCAATCTGCTAAATCAACCCATATTAGCTGTAAAAATTATTTTTAACTACAATTTCTTTGTCCTACACCCAGTCCAGCAAAACAATGATTTATTTATGTACTTTTATGCTAATAAAGAAGAGCTGATATACTTATTAAATTTCAAAAAAGCATAAAATAACTTATTATTTAAACTAATGTATAGTTAGGAATTAAACTTTTCATCTCTCACATTTCTTCACTGCTGGTGGCTACTAAGTTTATAAGAACTTAAACATCTCTTTTAAAAAATTATACTGTATCGATCTCTAGTGAAAAAATTTAATATATAATTCTTAATTAAATATTTAAGAATCCAAATTTTAATGACAAGTTAAACGAGCAGTTTCTAAGTACTAAATGAAACTTAAGCCAAACTAACTGAAAAAGAAATCAGGTATTTTAATATATTAAAATGAGCACCATTTAAAAACTAATACAATATATATTTATATTCAGTATTTCTAATGAACTTAAAATTAAGCTTTGGAATTACTTCAGAAAGAGACACAGCACATGATAAAGTAGGAGGGGTATGTAAGCTGCATTAGATCAGCCAGAACTTGCATAATCATTAATTCATTGATAACTCCTGTTTTCTGTTCTCTATTAACAATTTGTCCCACAAATTATCTTTCTCTTAGGATGGTAATAACTATTACACTGCATTTGTTTACATAAGTTAGTAAATTTCAAGTAGCATTTACATATATTTACACAATTAACTTTATCTATATGTCTATATATACATACATTTTTTTTCCAAAGTTGAACTATTAACAAATTTTACCTGGCAACAGCTTCTAGGAAAAGCTCTGATAATTTCCATTGTTCTGAATGTTACAAAACCAGCAAATTTGAGAACATTCAACAAAACGAGATAATCTCTTCAGAAATGTAAGAACTATACATATGAGGTTCTTATGTTTAATTTACTGACAATTTTAATTTGGATAAGAAACAGAAATTTGATTAACACTAAATATCTGTATTTAAGACTTCAAAGACATTAAATTAAATGCCTATAATAACAAATTATACAGTAACATGGAATAAAACATGTTTAAGCCTAACAGAAGCATTTTTCTCAGATTCAGCCTGTGGGTTTGACACTTACATTCTAAATGAAATGACTGTTCATCCCTCCATAAGGTATTATTTATTTTTATTAATGAAAAAGATCAGTTGGCTTCAATATAATCTTTTCAATGTAACAATATGTACAGATTATGGTTCTCAAAGCATGATTTATCCATCTACTATGAAATATTGACAAATAAATTATAGGACATTAAAGTATGTCTCTAAAAATAGGGTGTAGAGTTTTTAAATGCAAAGTTATTAGTCTAAAGCAATTTAAACAAGGTCTGTTCTTTGGCCTATAATCTATTCTTTATCCGGATTATAGTTCAGAATGTTTTTACTGCAATCTCTGCTAGAGCTCATCTTTTTATTGTGTAAGTCCAAGCCCCCTTAATGTTTTAGAAAGGCCTTGACTAACTGAACTTTGATCTGATGTCTTCATTGAGAAAAACACCAGGTTGCCCATTTCAGATGCAAATCCTTCTAAGGCCCAATAGAATTTAGTAAAGACAGCAAAAAAGAAAAAAATCAGAAGTTTCCAGGATCCTCTTTGAGAATCCTGGGGCACACTGGTGTCCTTAATCCATGCAGCAGCATGGATTAAGGTAGGTGATAACCTTTCCTGATTCAAAAGAATAAGCAGAGTGCCTACAAACTGGGTGGAGACTAGGATTTGGCTATAATAAAACACCATGCAATAAAAGCTTGGTCTATGTCAGAAGCCTCTGAAAAGGCCTCAATGTACCACATTCCCAGGCCTAGTAGGGAAGCTTGCAAAAGCCTACCTGAATCAAATAAGCATGAATAATCTATTTTAGCAGACTGGCCATGGGGAGAGAGAAAGAAAGAGAGACTTTTCACTTCTTTTAAGTTTGAGTTAATAAATTTATCAGTGGAGTGAAGGTTCTTGAAGTCCTATGCATTCAGAGCAATATGCTAAATTGCCAGGAAGCAAAGTATGCTTTTTAAGTTGCCGTTTCTATTAATGTTTCTAATTACAATATTAATGTGATAGAAATCTCAGATTTTGGATAAATCAAGGCAGAAAATTGATTTCATGCTGTGACAGTTTACATATAGAATATAAATAATTCACTAAAATGTAAAAATAAGGGAGTTTTTCTCATTATAATTGTTATTAATTTATTTAGAAATTAATATTAGATATAACAGCTAAAATACTGACAGGATAGATGCTAAAATTTTATTACTGACTAAAGACTTAAATCTTTCAATAAAAAGAAAATGAAACAATTATATTCTTAGAGAAAAAAACAATTTTGCAAGTATTTTCTATCCAAGACACATAGTATTAACATACTATCATATTTCTGAAACACTGAAAATTTTTTGAGGCCTTGAATTATAAAACACAGACTTAAATATTTCTTCTAAAAATGATACCTAAGTACTATAAATAAAAATAATTATCCACAAAACTGTCACCAGCTTCACAAAAGACAGAAGTATTTTTATATCAAACTATTATCGATAACCAGTCAGTTTACTTAAATTATCTTTTAACTTTGTCATCTGTGAAAGCTTGTAGAATGGAAGTAAAAATTTACTATGCTAAAAGAAAAGGACCTCTGATGGGAGTCAAAAAGAAAACAAAGCAACAAGATGGTACAACACCCTACCTCCAGTATGTTAGAAAGCAAACTTTCATTAAAAAGCTGCCCTACAAATAGTCTGAATAAGACATTATTTTACCATTGCTATCATTTCTTGTTTCTCAGTATGGAATAACAGTAAGCAAGAAACCAAACAGTTATTATGTCACTTTGAGTCTCAGTTCAATCTCCAGAACTAGAGCTAATAATTATACTGGCAATGAATATTTTGTAAATTGTAACACACTATGGAAATGTTATTATTATTATTATTATTGTGCCATGTTTCACTAGAGACTCAGAAAATCAGTCACTGTCATTTGTAATTATGTTGGTTTATGGAAAAAACACTTGTTGGTCATCTACATGTGCACACATCTATCACAGGATTATTGTGGCTAAACCACTACGACAGAAAGCCAGTGTAATGAAAATTTAACATAATGAGGACCTAATACACTGCCATGAATTGCTGGAACCATTGTAGGCCATGGTAGTAGCTCTTTATAATATTGAAGAAATTAAATCTCTGAATATACTTCAGGCTTGAAATTTGTAGGGTGAGAAGCGAATAGGGGTTTATGATTAGGAAGAAAAGGGCATGTTCACCATGGAGACAGAATCAAAATTATTAGTGAGGGAACACAACTTTTTAAACATACATTTGTTGAACTGAAGAAAGCACTGATTTATCCCTTACTAACTTACTATTATTGATTTCAGTATGCATTTTCTTATTTTTTGCATTCCCTAAGTGGGTCTAGGACTACACTCTTAAGGCCTACAGGCAACTTTATATTAAAGGGCATCTCTGTTAATCTGCCTATCTGCTTTTGGGTTACTTGTTAATCTTAAACCATAACAATTTAACTATATTTTCTTCCCAAGCAAAATATACAAAATTCAGGTGTTTTGTTTCCTTTTTTTTTTAATAGATGGGAATGAAAAATTAAGGCCTAGATTTATAAAGTATATGATGATGATGAGTGATGTCCAAAGTCCATCAGTCTGGGTAACTCATCATATGTAAAACTACATTCACACATGCTGGTGAAGGAAATGCTAAAAAGCCAAAAGATAATCCTGTTTTATAAAATTGATAGCACTTAATTGTAAATACAAGTAAACTTAAGTTGACCGTAAAGTGACAATAAGCTATTATTTTATTTGTAGCAATAATGAATGCAATTTAACTCAGCTTAACAATTTACATGCTATAGAATTCATTCATTCATCCTTCTAACAAATAACCATGGGATACCCACTACATGGTAGTAAAGCAAAGCAGTGAGAGTTCTTTCTCTCATTGAGCAGGAGGTATAGTTGATAAGTAACAAAGTAGGTATTTTTTTGTTAGCTTTAATGATGGTAAGTGCCATTAAGAAAAAATAAGGGAGAGGAGAGGAGAAGATAGGAGAGGAAGGGAGGGGAAGAGAGGAGAAGGGAGAGCAGGAGGGAGGGAGAGACAGACAGAGCAAGAGAGGTTTCATTTTCCATAGAGTGAGAAAGGAAGTCACTTCTGATAAAGTATATTTTAGCAAACACACAGAATATGGGAGAATAAGTAATCTGAAGAACTTTGTAAGAAGAACATAATTTTCAAAACACTCAAGCTTTAAATTTTGAAAACAGCACTGGATTTATTTTGTTAAGATTGAATCTTTAGGAATTTTACCTCTACAGATAATCAAACCAATGGCAGGCACACTAAACTCTAAAAGAAAGAATGGAATTAGTAATCCTCATATATATATATGAAAGAATTATTATTGAAAATAATAATTTATAAATAAATAATGAAATTATAACAGCATAAAGAATTTTCTCCCAAACTATAAACAGATTTCATAACAAGCACTATAACAGGTTTAAAAGTTTCAGTTGCTTGCCTTTTTGCTAGCAATTTCATTTGAAAAATGTCAATTACAAATGAAAAGACCAACACCTAGTTGAGATAAGAAAAAAGTAAAAGAAATGGAACAAATGACGTATATAATCTAAAACTGAATGGCATAATGTAATTATAAAAAATCTAAATTTCACTTAAGAGTTTAGGCTTATTATTGAGTCTTTCAAAACATATCAGTAAGAAAATTCAGATTATAGTCACTTCATAAAGGAGTCATTGTTAAACTCAATTACTTAAATACATCTTAAAATACAAGAAGTTCTGTACCATCTGGATTCTTAAGTGCTAGTTCTATATCTCCTGTCAGTTTTGCTCTCACTTAACTCATATTTTCTCCTAAGCAGACTAAGTACATTTATCCCTGACTCTTTGTACCTAGTTTTCAATCACATTCAAGCAACGCTATTCCTGTAACAACTTTCCTTTATTTAAATACTTTATTTAAAAAAGAACTTTCCTTTATTTAAAAAAATACATTGTTTTCTACATTTCAAGTACACTGTAATGTACTTAATTAGTTGCTTATGGATGAACATTTAGGTTACTCAATCTTTTGCTACTAAAAATAGGCTGCGTGAGTAGCTCACACATATTTCATTTTATATCCTGGTAAATACATTCATGATCTAAATTTCCAAAAGGGTAAAAAGGTATGTTCTTGCAATTTTGAAGTACGTTACCAAATGACTCCACAAAAGCTGTACTTATTTACATTTCCACCAGCAAAGTATGAGAGTTTCAGTTTCCCCTAGTCTTGCTAATATGATGTCTTGCCAAACATTTGATATCACTGTTAGTAATATAAGAAAAAAATGGCAGGTCAGTGTAGATTTGTGTTTATGTTATTATAACTAAAACTAGGCATTCTGTTTTGGTATGTTTAGGAATCACTTAAATTTCCTTTTCAGCTTTGCCTACTTTAAAAAATTGGATTATATGGACATTTCCTTATTCTACGAATTCTTGATATACATGAAAATTAGCTCTTTTGTTATCATATGAGTTACAAATAAACTTTTTCCAATTTGTAGTTTGTGCATAGTTATCTACATCACAGTTTAAAAATCCTATTATTCAAGAAATTCCACATTGAAATCAGGACAGTATGTGCTTAGTATGCGCATATTACATGTTTTATATTTGGTACATAGCTGATGCTTAATTAGTAGTTGTCAACAGACTGAATAAATGCATTTATCATTCATGAAATACTTATTCATTGAGCATTAGTATAGGACATGGACATACAAGAGAAAATAAAATAAGCTCTATGTCCTCACAAAAGAACACTCAGTCTGATGGAAGAGTTATAGTAACAATTACAAAACAATATGAAAATATTTTAAATATATATTTATAGAAAATAAGAATGCAGATAATTATGTATGTCTAAGGTAGTAGTATTTACACATGGAAGGTGATAAACCAGTGAATATGAAACTGAAAAGCATTGCCAGCAAATGCAAGTAATTCAAAGTGTTCTAAAAAGGGAATAAAGCAAACAATCCGGTGAGGGAGTTCATTTCAGAGCACACTTCATGAGCTTTAGCAGGAAGACTTACTAACATCTGTTTTGACTCATAATTTCCCTTTTGTTTCCTATTGCTTAGTGTACTCCGGATAGGTGAGGTTACAAGACAGCTGAGTTTGAAAATGTGATGGTTGAAAATGTATAGAAACAAAAATAATAATTATAAAGCACCATCACTTATAAAAATTATAAAATAAAATGTAAAAACAAAGTTAAAAAAATAAAAACCAAATTTGCCATTTTGTTTGCAACAAATATTATTTTGATATTTTGATCAAATTCTCTAAAAATTAACTATCTAGTAATTTTAACTAACAAATGTGCCTTGTATTACATTTAAAGAACAACTAAGGTACCACAACAGAGTCTATAAAATGAAAACACATACTTTTGCAAATGTTAGAAATAAGTTTGTATGCTGACTTGCCTCCATCTTGGGTAGTAACTGGTAACGCCAAGCTATTTTCATCTCAGTATTAGTTTCCGGTGTTTTATGATTACATGTATCTTCATCAAATTCTTTTTTACAATGATAATCAAATAATGGTGCAGGGAGTTCCTAAAAAAAAAAAAACCAGAATGACACATTATTCAGCATGTATGTTAATTATGACAATTTCTTAAATTGATGCCTTAAAATTAAACAGAAAGTTACAATAATAATAGACACTTCTAAAACGGAGGAAAAGAGTATATTAAATATGAACTTTAATGTTTCAGCAACCAACTAGAATTTAAAAATATTTGAATTTTTATACTCACAAGATCAGTTGCTATTCCAGCAAGCGGCTAAGATCATTTAAAAAAATTTATATATTGAAAGCAAAGTCTGGAATTAGCACTTACATATTACATGTAATTATTGTTATGTTTGCCACAAGGTAAAAATAAAGCATGTGTGCAGTCTGTTTACTGGTTTGTAATTCTAGAATTCAAAAAACTCATTCACCGAAATAATGCGTGAAGTAACAACTAAGAATAAAGATGTTTACCCATATAAATGTTACTTTTGCACCTGCAAGTAATGAAAATAGAATTAGAAACCCTTCACTAAATGAAGAGATGCTGAATTCCAATTTATTATTTTTGAAGGTGTCCTACTGACTACAAAAAAAAAACAAACCATTTTTTTGTATAGAGTATTACTTTAGGAATAATTTTTTAAGAAAGCGTTAAGTTTCTTGAAGAAGGAAAGCATATGCCGCAATGTTTATTTTTTATTAACCAGAATTACAAAGATAATAGGGGAATTTTGGATTCGTAAACTCAACTTTATAATGCTATAAGTAAATCTAAGTGCCAATTTTTACTTTTGAAGATCACTTATTTTTGGAGACAGGGTCTTGTTCAGTTGGGATCAGTCTGGCATCGATCTCCTAATCATCCTGCCTCAGCCATCTGAGTGCTGGGATTACAAGTGTGTATCACGATGTCCAACTAAGATCAAACTTATTTATTCTGAGAATCATATGTTAACTAATCAGCAAGTAATCATACATTTTAGTCACCTGCTCAAATACCTTAAAGTGAATTCACATTATAATTCATGCCAGTATTAGAAACTAGTTATATTATTTAAGATCTGAATCCATTATTCCTAGCAAAGCAATATACATCTTACATTGCAAAGTAACTTCTTTGTCCAATGGAAATAAATATTTATGTAGAAGTACAGCACAGTATAACATTATGGTTATGGATTTGAATTCTGTAGCCAGAATGTGCTTACATCTTGACTTTGCAATAGTGGCTGTGTATGGGTTACTCTGACAACCTATTAGACTTTTGTATGTCTCATTCATCAACTGAAAAATGAGATAACAGTATTCACTTCAATAAGTGGTTATAAGGAATAAACATTTAAAAATATAAAATGTAAAGAATGATGCTTGCTATATATTAAGTGTGCAATAAATGTTAGATTTCCAGAAGTCAGTCAGATAATTGTCTTAACCATTACTCAGAATGACACATTTTATATAATTAGTGTTAGGCAATATTTAGTATAAAATATATCAATTAACATCTTTTTAAACCCTAGGGACAATAAATAATAGTTACTGCAAAGGTTGCCCATATTGAAAGTTAATTTTTCAACAGAGATTATAATTATACAATTTTTAAAGCTACGATTTAAAGCTTTTTTATCAAATCTTTTATTGTTTGAAATGCCAGTTTTGAAGAATCACTCTTACACTAATATGTATATATTAAATAGTCCTAATATAAATTACGTATTAACATAGCTAACATAACAAGATGATTATGAAAAATAAATAAGCTTATCTTCATTAGTCTTATTAAATATCTATCTACACTTATAGTACATATTTCAATATTTTGAAGGTTTTCTGTGTGACATAAGAATTATCATGATCTAAATTTTAGTATTGAAAAAATATTCATTACTTTGACCAATGAACACACGAAGAAATGCTCAACATTCTTGGCCATAAAGGAAACACAAATCAAAATGACACTGAAATTTCATCTGACCCCCACCAGAATGTCAATCATCAATAACACAAAGAACAACAAATGCTGACAAGGATGTGGGGGGAAAAAGAGCACTTCTACACTGTTGTTGGGAAGGTAAATTAGTGCAACCGCTGTGGAAAGCAATATGGAGGTTCCTCAAAAAACTAAAAATAGAGCTACCATACGATCCAGTGATATCACTCCTAGGCATATATCCAGGAAATGACAGAGCCACTTGTACATCCATGTTTACTGCAGCACTATTTACAACAGCCAAGCTTTGGAAGCAGCCTAGATGCCTCATACCTGAAATGGATTAAGAAAATGTGGTATATATACATACACAATAAAGTTCTATTCAGTCTTTAAGAAGAATGAAACTATGTTGTTTTCATGGAGAACTTCACGTTAAGCAAAGTAAGCCACGGTCAAAAGCCAGATCTATAAGTTAAGTGTATATATAGACACATATATGATTATATATTAAATATTTTAAAAACACATATATACATGTAAATGTTCATTAAATATACTATCATGTATTAAATATTAACATATATTAAATATAAAATATATGATCATATATATATAATGGCAGAGAGAACAAAATTGTATTAGTGAGTCAGGCTAAGGAGGCAACAGGAGGTAGAGAGAGAGAAAGAATATGTTACAGAATGAAAAATAGTGAAGCAACCCATTTATATATATACATAATGCACTGTAAAGTAAGCTACTGAATTATTAGGGGAGCCTAATGATAGAGAATGAGTAAATAATGGAGGAGATGGGGTTTATTTGATAAAATTACAATATACACAGAGCTGAAATACCAAAGCGAAACCCCCTTGAACTATCAATATACAACTAATTTTAAAAAATGAAGGGCAGGAGAGAAAAGTCTTTTTTGGGAGTGGGTATGAGGGGGAGGGGGTGGGCACAAGGAAAGGGGGAATGAGGGTGAATATGGGTAGATGTGTTTTTATATCCACATACGAAAATAGAAGAATGAAACCTGTTGATTAAGAAGGGGAGGGGAGGGGAGAAAGTGAGAATGATGGAGGGCATAAATCTGCCTAATATATATTATAAGCACATAAGTAAATATCACGATGTAGTACCCTGTATGGTTAAATGCTTAAAAAGAATCATAAATTAAAAGGGAAAAAAAGAAAAAACACTCATTTCTTAAAGTTCGAGATGAAATATTCAAAAGACGTATAGAATTATAGTTCGAAGATTATGTTTTCTTGTATGTGTATACATTTACTTATTTACGTCTTTTTGATATACAGTTATACTATGTAGCCCAGGCTAGGCTCCAATTCTTGATTCTTGTGAGTACTGAGATTACAGGCATGTACTTCCACCTTTGGCTTATATATTTTTGAACTGAAATGAAATTCTCTTAACATTTTAAAGTGTCAAATGCAGTGGTTTTCTGCATACTCAGAGTTATGCAACTTTACCTCTGTGTTAGACAGTTTTTAGTCACTGTGAAATAACTGTGAGAAACAATATAAGAAGGGGGGTTTACTTTGGCTCATGGTTTCAGAAGTTGCAGTCCACACCTGGCTCAATCCATTAATTCTGGGCCTACAGGGAGGTAAAAAAAATCATGGTAGAGGGACTTTGGAGGAACAAAGCTGTTCATCTGATACAGCCTAGATGTACAGGTCTGAAATAGCAAGGGACCAGGGCCCAAGAATACAGCGTCACAGGACACCCCTAGTTACTCAAACTCTTTCAACCAGGCCCCAACCTTCCAAAAATTCCACCACCCTCCAAATAACTATTCAAAATTTTGAACACATTAACAGATTAAACTATTGTTAGTGCGAGTTCCCTCATGATCTAATCATCTTGGAAAAGGCCCTTATAGACACACCAGAGGTGTTGCTCACCAATCTCCTGAAGTGGGCCCTCCAAATCACAATCAAGTAACAATCATAATTACCATCACAGCCCACTTTGTAATTTCACAGCATTTTTCCCAAATATAAAAAAGAAACCCCATATACATTAAACCATACTTCCCATTCCCGGTCCCATTACTCCTCAAACTACTAATTTGCTTTTGTCTCTATGGATTAGTCGATCTGGAGAATTTCAAATTAAATGGAAAGATTACAATAAATGATTTTTTTTGCCATCTACTTCCTTTTTACTTAACATTATGTGTTCAATGTTTATTTTTAGCATGTATAAGTAATCCAGTCGCTTTATTGCTAAATAATATTTCACTGAATGGTTATTAACTTTGTTTATCTTTCTTAACACTTTGAATAGGCATATGATCATTTCCACTTTTGGAAGTATGAACAAAATACAATGAACATTCCTGCACCAATTTTTTTGTGTGAACATGTTTTGAATTCACTGGGTCATAGGAAAACACACAATTAACTTTTTGAGGAAGTACTGAATAATCTTTCACAGTAAGTTGTACCATTTACCTTCTGACCAATAAGTATTGATGATTTACCAATTTTTCCACATTTCTTCAACACTTAATTTTTCGGTTTAAAAAACTAGGGATCTGGTGTGTTGTAGTGGTTAAGAACAATGTGATTTCATTTTCACTGTCAAATGACAATGATTTTGAACATCTTTTCCTGTGCACTTTGGCCATTTGTATGTTTCTTTGGAAATACGCTAGCACATTCTTTTCCTCCTTTAAACCTGCATAGTTATCTTGAGCTGTGAAGGACTTCTTTAAATTTATATACTAATCTTAAATGGGATATATGACTTGCAAAATATTTTCTCCCATTTCCTATATGTTTTTTTCCACTCTCTTGGCAAGTGTCCAAGTGAAGGACACAGTGTTAATTTAGAGAAGCTAGTTTATTTATTGTTCTTCCATTGTTCCTTAATATATATACTATATATTTATAAATATTTTAATATCTATTATTTATATATTCATATGTGCATTACCTTGGGTCACTTCTACCCACCTGCCCCCACCCCCTCCCCACTCCCCTCATACCCAGCAGAAACTATTTTGCCCTTATTTCTAATTTTGTTGAGAGAGAGTATAAGCAATAATAGGAAGGAACAAGGGTTTTTGCTGGTTGAGATAAGGATAG